ATCTTCTAAGCGTTTTGACAAACACGTTATTAGTCAAAGAACCGTTTCGTTCAACTGAAGACTCATCGTGGGCATCTAAGTCTTCAGTTTTAATAGGGGTGTACGTCGGTGGTTCCATGATGGATCCGCGTGAAGAAAAGTATCCCATCTCTGCTTGATCAATTGCACTGACATACATTAGACAGACGAAAGATGGTGAATAAAAACGCTCCGGGGATCGAATTAACGCCTCTTTGCCCATAGAAGCGGCTAGAGAGGTTTCAATTCTAATTCCTCGGATGTTTATCGCGGTATATTCACAAGGCATGGCCATGGACTGCGGAGTAAGGCCGAACATCCGTTCGGATTATCCTTTGGCATACATGCTAGTTAGAGAGCCGCGATTGCTTAGTTCACACCAGAGTTAGACCCACATCTTCTGTTCCAGGGCAACTTTTGGAGGAAGTCTCGTAAGCACCTGGGCGAATGCGGAGGCCCTTTACTTGCCAGCATCGATGCTCATAATGACATAGAAACAACAGGTTATTGAACAAAGTTTTTATTTGATGACATGGACAAACCCAGAGGGTCGCTGCGCAGCCCCAAAATCGCATGAAGTGTGCGAGCGGCAAGGGGGTTGCCAACGTACCCACAAGGCACAAACATCCGACAAGCACAACAACGTCCGATTGCCAGCCAGAGATCCGTAAACCCCTATCGTCTCGAACCGTTTGATTTCTTGTATGGTATTAGACAGAGTGTACGTGCCCTAGAGAAGGTACTTATTAGTTACTACGATCAACATACCATTTCTGAGCAGTAAAGGATCTACGTCGGCATCTTCAAAGTGATGGAAAAGTCGACAAGGTTAACGTCAGGGCATTCACGGCTACGGGCTATCCTACTAGTCTTGGCCTCTCAGATCATGGCAGCAGTGCTGCACGCGCTTGCCAGAGTTCTCGAAACAGGGCAAGGCTTCCAAGAACGAGTGCATCCCTTCACAGTACTCCAAGTTCGGCTCTTGATAACGTCGTTGGGATGCAACACCTATTTGAAGTGGATCGCGGCACCCGAATTCCCACTCGGGCCACCTGAACTAAGACCCTTGTTGACCCTTCGGGCTGCCGGTGGTGTATTGGGGGCCTGCGGATTTTACGGTAAGTTAATTTTCTAGCTCAGATCTCCAGTGGAAGGACGAAGCCAAGCTCAAAGATAGAAACTGACAGGTACAACGACAGTGTCTATTTCATACCTGTCTCTCAACGAAGCGACGGCACTCAACTCTCTGGCCCCTCTTGGTGCCCTAGTTTTGACGAGATACTTAGATATTGGAACAATATCTCCCTTGGACGGGGCCTCATGCGCCGTTGCTCTTGCTAGCGTCGTCTTGGTTTTACAGCCCAGGTTCATTTTCGGGACAGAAACAGCCCAGGCAGCCGACCTCGCACGGAAAATATCAGTCGATTCTACTGCGTTACTTTCTGGCACGCTGGCTGGCGCAATTGGCGTGGTTGGCGGAATCGTAAGTCTATGGAAATCTTCATTAGGGTCTTGCATCATTTATCAGCTCAACTGACAACTTTTGTTTCGAGTACAGGTTGCGCTTTCGGCAATTAACAAACTAGGAAAAAGAGTACATCCTCTCCTCAGCGTCAGCTATTTCAGCTGCAGCGTCTTCGTGGTAACAACTGCTTGCTCATTTTTTATACCCGAGGTAATATGGCCGACAACCCTGAGATCATGGTGTTTACTGGTAGCACTGGGAATCATCGGTTTCTGGATGGAATATCTCCTCACTGCAGGGTTGGGCTCAGACAACTCTTCCAGCGCGACGGTTATGATTTACTCCCAAGTTCTATGGGCACTTCTTCTTGATCGGCTCATATGGAACTCAGCTGTCAATTCATTGACCATTCTGGGGTGCATTGGCGTGATAATGAGTTTGACAACAACAACTCTAATCAATAAGTTTCAAGGTACAAAAGGAGCGGTAGACTTTGAGGTGGAGTCGGAGTTAGGCGATATCGATTCTGAACTGATGGACAGGCGTGCATGGCAATATGCACTAGATTGAGTAGAAAATAGCAAAAGTGTTGGAATAGAGATTTGCACGCGTTCGTACGTACCCACGCGGCAATGCAACCTGTACATTAGTCAGCAGGATCCAGCCTATATAAGGGCCAGATCTGCTAGATATCTAGGACTTAGAACATCATCGGCAACAAATACATTGACGGTCAACCACTATTATCGTGTGCCTCCAGCAGCGCGCGAGCTATTGCGACAAAAAGAATAACACATCAAGTGTATTGCAGTATTGGTGGCCGTCTTAATGTGCCCGTTGGCGTCGCTGTATATGGCTGTAGGATTATCCTGTGCGTTGCACATATCAAAAAGATGTGTGAACAACGTAATAGAGCTGTATGATTCCCTCCATGTCATTGCAAGGATTGAGATTCCGGTTGCTAGTGCGCTGCCTAGCTACATAGATCGATTATGCGTAAGAAGAAACAATAAATGCTTGTGATGGCGAATCATCCGGACCATTCTCATAGTGGTGAATTATGTCTAATATAGCCCACGTAGTTGGAAATATTTACATCATGTACGAGGACTGTAGAACTGTACAATTGATCATGATTATAATGTGGAAGTCTATTGAAACTCATAAACGCTGTCAATTATGACGTGAAACTTTCATTATACCACCAAATATCACGCCCTTGTTTAACCCAAGGGTCAACATAGGTTTTGAGCTCGCGGACCAACTCCGCCGGACCACACACAAACAATGCTAACCGATGTGATTGACTCTCTCCCCACGCGGAATTTATAATATCTCTCAAATCGGGACGATTTGGAACATACTCTAGGCCGTCTTTGTCACAGCATTGCTGCGCATGTTCCAGCTGGATATCATCTGTGGTATCGTTCGCAAGATGCGTATCATTGATAGAAATCCGGCCGCTACCTGTGACAAACACGTGCATTTGTTCATCATCCAAGATGGATTGTCTTGTCACGTCAACACTCCAATGTGTGTCTTCGAGATTTCGGACAGTCCAGAACATGTCGATTCGTGCATCCGGATGTTCTTGAATGATCGAGCGATAAACTGGCAAGGTAAATGTCGCTCCGACGCCTCCAGCAAAAAGCAATATGCGGTCAAAGCCAGCACCTACGAGGTCGGGAATGTATTTTGCAACTCCAAGTGGACCTTCAATGCAAATCGGGACTTGCTTGTTTTGCGAAGAGTAGATATCAGCTAATCTCGCAAGGTTTCGAGTCATTGGCCCACGACGCTGGCGCGCGATGAAGGTTATGGCGGATTTGTCTTTGCTAACAGCCGCTACTGTGAACGGATTTGATGTGAAATCAAAAATCATGTTGCGTAGATCCAGATGATGCGAGTTCAGGCGAGCCTGCCTTGGTAAACTCAAGTAAAAGTGAGAGCCTGGATAGGTCTCGCATTCCAGTGCCATCACTGGCGGAACAGTGACAGAAATTTCAACCAGAGAGGTGCCTGAAATGTGCCTCATTGTAGCCTTTGTTGTAAGAGTGTACCATTTCCGAGACATGATATTGAGAAACCAAAGCGATATAGTTTCAATCATATATATCCTTGCAGGACACACGTGGAAGAAAACCAGTGGCGGAATGGCAAGTGACGTAAGACGGTGCGTGATAAAGAACAGCCTGTAAGAAAAGCGCCGAGCTATTCCTAACGACGTATAACTTAACAGACTAAGAGCCAAAAATGCCGAGAGGCCGGTAATCGGGGTGAAATGTTGAAATGCTTGGGAAAGGGTTCGTGTTTGGGCGTACTTGTTGAGGTAAAGCGTGGCGTGGCATGCGATCATGGCGTAAATAATCCACCCAAGAACACGATGACAACGATTAATGTCTTCGTAGGACAATCGGAAAGCGACAGCAGCAGGATTTCCGTGCTTTAAAGCCAACAACATTTGGGTTGGCAAAAGAGCCGTGGCAGCTATACCGACTCTCTTCGCTAATAGATTATAATCTGAAGAAAGAGTTAGCAACACGGATAGGGAGAGTTTACATCGGTGATCGCTTCTATCGAGACGATTATAAGACCCAAATAACTGAAAACATACTGACAGCACATTCCATAGCTGGTTCATCAACTGATACAGGAGGCGTGAGGGTTTGGTGTTCTGGGACTATGGGCAATAAACTTACTGTCTCCAGTTTGGAAAAGGCAAAGGAAAATGAGCCATATGATGCATACACTTCCGATGAGAATCTGCCCACGTGTCGCGCAGATCTGACCCACCAAGTGAACTTGGAGATTCAACCACCAAGTCCATTGCCTGAGCTCGGCTTGAATTCGGGACGATTTAAATGTCATACCCTGTTGCTCTGTGTTTCCTACAAACTTGTATGAACCAGTTCGATCTCTGGGGCCCGCAACCAGCCATATTGCTCCTCGAACTCCTAGAACTATGAGAACTGGGATTAGTGTTGACAGCTGCACGTAGACGCCGTACCGATTAAGGTTCCGAAGTTCTTCAAGGTGACCAGCATCAGTATGCGTATAGAACTTATAAGGCCAACCCATGACGACAGTCGGGATGGTGCCTAACGAATTAGACACTGGGGTTTTGCAAGAATTTTCATTGAATAACGATAGTATGATGAAAGATGAAATTCTACTTTTATGAAGTTTAAATATACTGCTGATGTTATACTCCGGATGTTTTGGTTACGGATGTTGAACACTAGCTCACATTAATATCCGCAAAAGTGTGCCCATCCAATGTACAAGATATCCTATGAGTGATCTACATCTTGTAGCCTTCTTCACAGTCCGGACTCACCGACTAGTCCGGTAAACTCCACGCGATAGACCAAAGGCTCGTGTTGAGCTGTCAATTTCCGTTATCAGTTATCCGATCGAAGAAGCCTTCTACACAACTGTGGCCCGGCTGGCTTGTGGCAAATTACTTGCTACGTAATTACCCCATTGTTAACAGGGAAGCATCATTATCTGGTTCGCCATGTCAAAATCTTTGTTTAGCAGCCTCCTGGCTGCATTTGCGGTCCTTCAAGCCTCTGCTTCCGTCACCATTCGAAAAACTGGCCGAGGCCCGACAGGCTATGAAGTGGACTTCAAGTACACAAACACCACGGCCAGTCGTGTGCTGATTGGCGGCGGTATTCAGCCTTTCACAGACCAATTTCATACCACGCTGGAAACAAATGGCATGTACGATCCGCACACGTACCAACCGGGAGACTTTTATGTCAAATCCCGCCCAGCTGTTAATTTCGAGTGGCCTTACGAAATGACAGTTGATAAAAAAGGCGTCTGGTCTTATACCACACCACTCCCCTCAGGCGTCTACAGCTTCGCCTACCTGGTCGATTGCGACTACGTGTTGAACTGTACCGTGGATACCGGCAAGCTCGTTCTAGACCCGGACCTACCTCCTTTCCAGAACGTGCAGGGCGATCAAGTCTCATCCACCTTCCAAGTGCCCTTTGACGCAGAGTTCCAGACGGGGGACCCATGTGGCAACTTTGACTATGCGCTCCCTGCCGCACCTGAGCACCGCGGTACCATTTTCACTGTCAATTATACTTCGCCAGGATCTATACATCCGGCTCCGGATGTCCACGACTTTACTATTTACCTGCCGGCTGAATACGGTCGCCTGCAAGACAAGAAGTACCCGTTATTATACATCTCGCATGGTGCCAACGGCAACGGCGCTGAGTGGGAGAACCTGGGGCGCGTTAGTTCCATTCTCGACAATCTAATCGCTGAGGGCCATATAGCACCGACTGTCGCCGTGATGCCGTCTTTCTACAACCTTGATGATACGTTACCACGCTTCGTTTACGGCAACTCGCAGATAGTGCCTGCACCTTATCCCCACCACGTCCGCGAAAATTATCAGCGATACTTGTTCCCTTGGGTTGAAGAGCATTTCGACGTCTGCCGAGAACCCTCTTGCCGCGCCTTCTCAGGCTTGTCGCTAGGCGGCCTTTTGACATATGAGATGTTAGTCAACGCGACTGATTATTTCGAATACTACGGCTTTTTTTCGCCCGCCACAATCGCGCCTTATTATGACGCCCCCTCAATGGCGGAGAATTTGTCGCTAGTCAAGAAGGGTGTGTTTGTTGCCTGCGGACTCTACGACACCCTCCTTACCGCAGCCTTGGACCTACAACATGCCTTCAATGAAATGGGGATGAACTCCATTTCAAGAATCTCACCATTCGGCAGCCACTATTGGAACACGTGGCAAGACAACTTATGTGAGTTTCTCCCTGTTGACTGTTTTGAAGGTGAAAAGGTATGAGTAGAGTATGTGCAGTGTTGATACCTGTCCTATGATCGACTTGAGAACTCCAAAACGATGGCTAACCAATATCTTGCAGGGTGGTTTGGTATCAAGGCTTTGTGGCAGCCAATCCCGTTTACAGTAGAGTCAGGCCGTATTAAACCGTCCACAACTGCTCCTAACCACACCTTGTGCCTGCATTAGTTGAATGTCTATATGATTGAACGTTGCATTGTAGCTCGAGCGCACGAGAATCAAATTTCAGCTATCATCCGTGACTCTATGTGGGATCCAAGGTGTGACAGGCGTAAACAATACTAATTGAACTTAACGATGAAGTTTCATTGCCAAAATAAAACGCAATAGCACCATAAGGATTAATGTGCTGTGCTTTAACGCTTCCAGTGTATTTAAGTAGTAAGATCCACATTATGTAACCTAGCTGCCTTGCTATTCCAAAGTACATAGCCAGAGCTGAAGACTGGCTATAGTTGAATTGTGATAGAAAGAGGTTATGATTTCAAACTTCTTCTTCGGTTGTAACATCGGGAGAACCCAGTTCGATTCTTGCTCCACTTCTGAATGTCCTGATCTTCCTTTGCATAAGAACCACCCATAGCCAAGTGTGTAAGCAGATTCAGACAGTGATTGATGTGATGTTCTCTTGACGCCAGTAAAGTTGTCAATTCCTCATCCGAAGATACTGAGTTCAGTATCTCCTCTTCACGGCCCATGAACTTGATGAAGCGCTTTAAAGTGAAAACGCAATGCACACCATGATCCAAAGGCATGATCCAATACCGACCGGCAAAGGTCCGTCCGGACATTTCCTCTATATCGATAGGCTGCTCACCATACTCGTTGTTAAATCCATGCCAGGTATCATAGCTTTTGTACTCTTCCAAGGTTTCCGGATCTGCGCATTCTGGTGGTACCCAAGACTGCTCCAAGGTGTCGTAGCTGCATCCAAGAGCTTTGGCTTCCAATGTTGAATTTCCGCAATGTGAAATGAGAGTGGCTTCTTGTATGGACTTCTGAGAGGGTAGGAGAAGCACCACGTTCCAGGATATCAATGCTATGGTCCAACCCGCAAGTAGAATGCCAAATGAGATTGAATACCAAGCTGTCGCATGACGAGAGGGTGGTGCCTGGAGTGGAGCTTCAGGAGTATCCAAAAGTGGCTCCAATTTGTCTTTGTTAACGCTTCCTTTGTATAGACGTTTTGGAAAATGTAAAGAGAACATGTCGATTTGTGCCGCTGGTGACTCAAAATGATTCTTCAACCAGAGTTGATTAGGTTCTTGAAGGCATAGAGATGGAAGTTATCTCAATAAGCCGTCTGATATATCAACAGCGACGACCATAATATCCGGCTGTATCAGGAAAAAACTTTGTATTTATCGTGTTTCACAAATCGAAAGTTGAACTAATACGTTTCTGTCGCGGATGATTTTGTTTGTGGCAATAATATCCGAAAGTTGTAATCAAGATATGGCGACTGGTGCTAGCGATGATAATACGTATCAAGGAAAGTCCAACAGATAGCATCCGCTGTCCTTTTCTTTTCGGTGATCCGGGCTTTTGGAAGACATTATATTAACTTCTTAGTGATCACTATCAATAAACATTGGTCCTGATGCGTGTTTTCTTGTGACTTACGATACCATCCTTATTGTCCGCTTTAACTGAGGTGCTGCAGAGGAGGAATCTTAGTCCACCTATTTAAAAGATGTTTGGACTCTTCAAGTCGCTCAGATTTCTCACGGAATCAACAGTTAGCATGAGCCAAGCCTACATTAATTTTCTTTATTTTCAAAGGCCCGATACTCGATACATCAAATCAAGACGTGCGACGAAAATCTCCTCCGCTATTGCAAAATATCCGTGGGAGGAACCTGTGACATGAGTCAAGCTGATAAAGGTTTCCACATTGTAAAGCATTGACACCATTCAATGCACTCTTAGATTCTGGTAAATCATTTCCCATGCAAGTACCGCGCGCCAGGCATCTTCATCACGTTCGTTACACCTATGCTTCCTTTTGCCCATTTGAGACATTTGCAGGTGGCATCAAGCCGTCACAACTGAGCGGCTATGTTGAAAGCAGATGAGACGCCGTTTCTGCATCACCAGGAGTTGGATATTGAGAGATCTCAGAAGCAGTGCAAGACACAATACATTCTGAATCTGAAAAATATATTCAATTACTGGCATTTGTGTAGTCATCTTCGGTGTAATGTTTTGGAATGTCTTGGCTTTAATGGGCTGGATCCCTCCCAATTGCAGCTCGCCTTTCATAGCAACAGAGATACGTGAGTTTTGGGTTTCTAATTATATAGGATCCTACTGACTATTGATCAAATACCCGAATGCTTCCAATTCGTCGAACAAGACAAGAGACTATTAAGCCCTACTTCGATCCTGACCATATCTTCCCCAATAGATCATACAATCCTCACTCTAGTGACTATGTTGGCAGGCCTAGCGGCGAATTGAACAGTCTCTTGGCAGAATTGGACGGGCGTCAGTTTGCATATACCACCGTTCACTTTTGAAAAGATTTCTCTAAAACCAAACAGCTAACCTGATGGCTCTGGACGCCACCGAACTGGAACAATTTGCTTCTCGAGCAATTAGAAACCCTCTGGATGGTACTAAAACTGTTACCAGGCAAGTACTCAACACCCCGAAAGGTTCTTAGCAGCAAATATTTACATACCTCTGCTAGTATTCAAGTGTTCCACCGATTACACTGCCTACGTGCAATTCAGAAGGCAGTATATTCAGAGTCCTACGGCAAGCCACACAACATGTTACAGATAGCTAAGTAGAACAATACTAGTAAGCTCCTGGTATTGTATGAGGAAACTTTGATTGACAGGTACAGACAACTGCATAGACTTGATATGGAGACCAATCACATGTCAAAGTGATGCTACGCCAATTCTTTACTACCTTGCCAATGTCTTCACTGGAAGATTCAGGAAACATGAGAAGCTTACCTCTATTCATACGTGTAGGAATGTTGATGACATCACTTAGTGGGCGAAGTAGAGGGTATTTCCATGAGGTATAGAGGTGGCGCAGAATCAGTTAGGATCGTTGGGAATGTTCATTAGTGATCACAAAAACCTTGGCACCACGTTTTGCAGTAGTATATATGGCCACCTGAACGGGTTAGGGCAGCTTGTTATTACGAAAGCTCTTGAATCAGTAGCGGTCAAGAACTACTAGACCAACTAACATGCAGCGCGATGGATACGGCTCTTTTAGCCACCACTAACGCTCTTGGAGCGCACAATACTGGGACCCCGGAATTGAGATTTGGCCGCAAAAATACATTACAATGGCATGAAGGAATGCCTCGGTAGCATGATGTCCTCTGGCCTCGTAACTCAACCACCCTGCTTCCCACGCAACCCCGCATACCACGCAGCCCCAAACCCCCATCAATATCACCATACCCATCAACAACATCCATTATTCCTCATCCCTACCACCTACCCAGATGCAACTTTCTGCTTCACTAGATAATTCAGATCCACTGGATTCACTTGTGCTACTCTCTGCTTCGCCAGCAGCAATTTGCGCCCGTCGGATATCCTCGATATTAGCGAACGTCGTGTTAGGGTCCGTCTGGACCCTTTTTCTCCTGCCTTGTTGCTGACTATCCGTCTGGGCCTGGAATGCCTGGGCCTGACGCTCTAGGACTGTCAGTCTATAGGCCTGTTGGTCCCAGCCTTTTTGGACCTTTCTAAATAGGTGGCGTTGGGTGTAGATTTCTCGGGTATCTTGCGTAAGCTGGTTGAATAGGTGCAGCTGACGCTGAAGATCAGCAGACTTACGCGGGGTTGACCATGGGACTATAGATACAGCTCCATCCCACTGCTGACTTCCTGACTGCCCAGCTGTCTGGCCGTCTAGCTGTCTGGCTGGCTGGCTGGCTGATGCCTTAGACACGAAAGGGCTAGATAGAGGTTGCGCTACATCAACTGGCCATAACCCAGTGTGTTTCCAGCCGCTTTTAATAACCTGGATAGTCAAGGCGTCTAGACGTGCCCTTCTATAACAGTCTATAAAGTTCCTCTTGCCTGTTACAGTTGAATCGCTTTGTATATCTAGGTACCCTAGATACTTCCTATAGGCTGCCTTAAGAGGTCGGAATACTGACTGATCTAGAGGCTGGAGGACGTGTGATGTGTGCGGCGGCAGAAACAGGAGGTGTATGTGGTTCCGGAAGCATCGCCACAGAAAGTCTGTTGTTGTATGGCTATGATGGGCGTCTAGAACTAGTAGTCTAGTATCTGAAGGGTCCTCTGGGACAGTCTGAGGGATAAAGACCTTTTCTAGCCATTCTAGGGCATTCTGATCAGTTGTCCAGCCGTTCTCTGTTGCTGTGAATTTCCAGCTAGCATAGGGTTGAAGATCTAGAGGAAACCACTGTTGCTGGACTGACTTGCCCTTATACATAACAAGAGGCGGAAGTGCGCGTCCTCTGGCAGAGACGCACTCGATCAGAGATACCCATGCCCGCGATCCAGGCTGTTTTTTCTGGATATACTTGGTCTCTGACGATCCTAGTACTAGCCCATTGCTTCCTTTGCCCTCGAGGATACCAGTCTCATCCATGTTCCATCTATTAGCTGGCTTGATGGGCAGGATTGCTGGCAGATCAAGGCGATGAAACCATTCCTGGATAATGTCAGCAGTTGCCCCATTAATTCGCCTAGCGTCAATTGCCCTGCATCGCTGGGTTCTGATAGATGGGTTTCTGCGAAGAAATCGCTGCATCCACTTCCTCCCAAGTGGTCGCTGCCCATCGCCCAGCATGCGCTCAGCCAGCCCTTTGACTTGCTGATGGCAAAACGCAGAGCCTAGGGCAGCCTGCTTAGATATCCACTCAGCAAGTAGACCTTCCTGGTTCTGAGATAACCGCTGCAGTCTACCAAAGGCAGTATTTCTAGACTGGGTACCATGGAGACGTTGTCGTACAGTCGCCTCTGGGATGCCCCATTTGCGACCTGCCCCGCGGATACTAAGCCCGTCAGCAATATCCCAAAGTGCCCGCTGCAGCTCATGTTCACTATACTGCTTCATCTTATAGTAAAAAAGATATCCTCAAAAAATGGCGTTGTTTGGGGTAGAATAGAAGATGTTGTGATAGTTAGAAAAGAGGAGTAGGTTTTATGGTGACGCGTTGTTGGGCTGCGTGGTATGCGGGGTTGCGTGGGAAGCAGGGTGGTTGAGTTATAGAGTTGCAGTAGGGAAGCTTTGCCGCAGGCATTGTTTTTGTTAAAGTGCAGTTGCGGTGTGGTCGATTCCTGGTCTTCTTCACCAGTTTCCCTCCGCTGTCACGGAGGACTGTGATCATATGATGTCTTTAGGATGCATACATCAGTAATCTTGAATCTTGAAAGAAGCAGAATGATAGAAAGGCTGGCTCCATGTTGCAACGGCTTCAGACCAATCCTATTCTTATTCTGACAGGTCAAGTAGTCCCAGATTTGACGGCACAGGCCTTATCGCTGAAAAATGCTCAATGGATACCTACTCCCAAATGCCGGTAACCGGAGAGTATTCCTAATAGCCAATCCATGATGCATGTCCCATCGACCTCGGACAAGCTCCATTTCTGCCCAAGGCGGGGTAAAGCGCATGTGATCCGTTGCTCAAGAACACCTATAACACATTGTCCACACAAGTATTTGTAAATCTTTCGTTTGAAGTAAAAGAGGACGCTTGACTGGTGATCTCAGGTCTTAGCAATCAATGAAACGAGTCCGTAGTCAACGAGAGAATAACATGAAGAAGGTGGACAAATAAGAACCACCAGCTGATCAACAATGGCGACCCACCAAAGACCCTTGGCGTGACTTAGCGGTGAATAGCTGTACCACATTACTTTACTCAAGAACCCTAATCAGGCGATGCGGGTCTGGTGTCTCTGACTCTGACTCAATACTCAAGGCATCCCATCGGCAATTGTTACGGGGGTATGGAGTGCTCGTCAGCCCACATCAGACAAGCTGACAACTTTTGAAGTAACGTACCCTATCGCTGTCTTGACCGGCCCGGTCAGGTCGGCTAGTCCGGCATCTCTATTGCCATCGCCAGCCAGACAACTTTATCGCTTGCTGTCGTCATTGCACTAGCTGGCTTTCTCATGAAGGTCCAGGGGGTGTTGTGCAACCTAGCGACCTACGCAATCGCACATGTGACTGTAAATGCAATATTACAGATGTTCTTGCCGCCTTAAGGAGGCTGTACTGATGGACCGTTGTACTTTACTGGCCAATCAAAGTTTGTGAGTCACGTGCGCGTACAAGACTCATTTGAGCGTGTATCGAATCTTCGTGCGGAACTATCAATTGCCATTCAGAAATAAGTACCTATACGGCTGATTTGTGGATTTGGCAAGTGGCTGCACCTTATACACGCTAAATTGCAGAGGCATCCATCGAGCCAGGGCATCCCATCCGCCGATGTCATCAAACCAGCCATACACGTGCGAATGTCCATATACCACAGCGAATGTCCATATACCACATGTGAATTACCGAGTCAGCGGCGCCAAGTTCCCCGCACTTTCCCTCTATCTCTCTAAGCCTGAACATACCCATTCGCCGCTGCGTCAAATCATGAAACTCTAAGGGCTCTTTTCTACTGGTCAGGGGCATCGACGATAACATATTCCACTTTTCACTTCTGGGTACTTGTTGGGGACACATGTGGATCGTCGTTGGATTCTGCGTACTTTATCTCTATGGTTCAATAGAGACCCGTTATGTCTACTGATAGTCCGACTGCGGCAGTAAAGTAGATAAGGGAACCCATACATGTAGACTGCCGCCAAGGTTCTTGGCAAAATTTGTCCTGTCGCTCCTTCACAATTAGATCTGGTCTAAACGCACATCGTCAATACTTTGTTGCACAATGTCTGATATTGGGCTGCTTTCCAGTGGCGATATTTCGGCAGCCAATCGGCCTGCATGGAGGGGCGTCAATCAACAAGCCGGCAGGATCTCGAGAACGCGGGCCAACTCATACGTCAACGTCTGCGATCAATGCTATCGTCGCAAGCTCGGCTGCTCGCGTGCCAAACCTTCGTGCGATCGATGTCATCAGGCCGGCCGACAGTGCACATACAGTCTACACAGACCAGCTGGCCGTCCAAGAAGATCCAAGTCTGATCAGGGGCGCAATTCCAGATCTTTCTCGATTTCTACCCGTGACGACACCCATGAAGAACAAGGCGCCAAGGATGTCTATTTTAACTCAAACCAGGGAGCTATTTCAGCTACACACCGTATGTTCCTAACTTCATCCCGAATTTGGCCTAAAACTTAAGAATCTAATTTGTAGTGTAGATACTGGTGACGGTGCAGAGTTGGTACCCGGCGATCAGTCTATGATGCAGATATCGAACACAAGTGCAGGCGACTTGACATCACCGACCACACTTGTTGACTCCAGCAGCTCTGAATCTATCGTTTTTGTTGACCCGGCCATCTGGTCAAAACCACCAAGGCCGAATTACAGATCAGCAACCGGCAAGAAAGCGCAAACCCCTTGACTATTGAACCGGGCACAGTCTTGGACCGGAACTTAGATCGGGGTCATGCATCTACGAGTGGCAGTACGGAAGACCACTACAGAGATGGGTTACAGTCTGGCTCCCAGCATGACACTGTGTTTGACACCTCGGCCACTTCTCGTCACACTGAAACTCCCGCCCATCCAATGACATCGCAGTTAGACTCCGAGATCATGGATTTTGATTTTGGGGGCAACGAAAATTATGGGATGGAAGACGGGCCATTTGATACTATATCAATGGCCGGTTCCAGTGACGATGGCTGCTTCTGTCTTCCAGACCTGGTACAGTGCTTTGAGTCTAGGGCGGACTCATGTCAGACGAAAGGAGGTTCTTTGGAAATGGTTCGTATGCTTAATGAGAGCTCTGAGCGCCTAATTCATTGTAGAGAGAATCACACAGGCATATGGTATTCAATGCTGTTGGCTCTCTACGAAGAAATGGAAGGGTGTCTGAGCCCGGTACAACCTTGCCAGCAGAAGCCAGGCGGCGAGACTCACCCTCCGCCAACTCAGCCGGGGTCGGCAGACAAGTCAAAAAAAGCAAGAGAACAATCTAGCAACTGTCTTGAAGCTAGTGGCACCTGCAAAAGCATTATCTTTAAAGCCTTCACCGTCTTATCGACGGTAGTGGCTGCCCTACCATTCAAGCCCGGGACAAATATCGACAAAGCACATCAAGAGGTTGTGGTTATGTATGCTGAGAAGCTGCGGGACAAGTTCAGAAACCGATTGATGGAACTAACAGCGATGAACGTCTGAATTGCTCAGAAATATGCATGGCATGCTGGGCATTGAATCGAATTGGTTTCTCTATCTAAACTTAGACGTAGTGCGGCCGGCGCGAGAATGGGAAAGTTGAGCTACTCCATAAATATGAGAGAGTATTCCACAAGTTCTTGGAAGGCAATCAGGTCAATACACATTTTTCATTGAGATTACTAGTTGTTGAATCGTTGGGCAGATTGCGCATGTTGTCAAAGGGAGTTGAGATGATTCTGTAGATGCAGGATTAAGTCTACAAATGTTAACAATGTCTGTCGGCCTTTTTGAAACCCCCAAAATTTATCAGCGACTGAAGTCTCTATCAAAGTATAAATTCTGTATCAGCACTGAAAGGGGGATTCAACAACATTAGAAGTTGGGTTGTCGCTAATTAGGCATAGTCCAGCAATTGTGTTGACACGCATGATCAAATATGACACAATGTGTTAACACGTTCCATTTGTGTCGTGGCACTGGCAAACGCTAACTTCACAAGAGTATCCGGGTGAAGTAACTTGGCTTATACCATCAGCTTCACATCCGAGCATTAATCACACAAACAGCAAAAGCCAGTGAAGCGATTGAATTGTCATAAAATACTTGAATACTTGAAGATGCGTGTTTCAGTCAGTCGAAAACCTGCAGCGAGGCTATTTGAGTTGCTCCTCCACTCAATCCACCAGACTGCGCTACAGTCACTCGAAAAGAGCGTGTACATCATACCAATGTGGAACTGATGTGGTTATCTACCATGTGATAGCGGTGCTTAGAAGTTGAATTTGAACAGGCGCTTCTCTTTCTCGGCAGTACCTTCGATGTCTTGTTCCTTATCGGTCTGTTCCTCGTCGCGCTTGAAGTTGAACTTGAAGAGACGCTTCTCAACGTCATGCTTGTCGTCGGCGTGTTCCTCGTTACGCTTGAAGTTGAACTTGAAGAGACGCTTCTCAACGTCGTGCTTGTCGTCGGCGTGTTCCTCGTCACGCTTAAAGTTGAACTTGAACAGGCGCTTCTCGTGGTCGGCCGTAGCCTGGGTCTCATCGGTGAGTTGCTTGACGTCTACCGAGCTGATAGGCTCTACAATACATCACGTTATATGTCAGTCTTGCTAGTCTGAAACTGTTGATGTGTAGGAGCTTACGGGCAACAGCGCCTAGAGCGCAGATAAGGGCGACTCCGCCAATGATGTTTACGAAGCGAACCATTTTGTATGAGGATTGACCTTGTGATAAGTTATTATCGGTAGATTGGACTAAGTTATTAAGAGATCTCTGCGTAAGGAGAGATAGGACACCGTTATTATCACCTTGAGCGATTCTGATATATAGTGATAATTTCGTCTTGTATACTCATGATGTCACAAGATACGGGCTTATTCTCCGGTGAATGGTTTGAATATCCGAGACAGGGCAAGGCAAGCTCAGAACGACGAAGAAAGAAAACAGGGAGGGTTGAGAGGCTCTAGCTACCGGGGATAATAACAAGTTGACATTCACTGAACAGAATTTATCCGAATCCTCAGTGCTTGGAAGATTACTGGCTGTGAAAATCATTGCATAGTTTACTCTGAATAACGCATAAAAAGACGCACTGTAACGACGGAGCCAGGGTGACCTCGTGGCCCGAGTCTCCCTCACCAGGCACTCTTCCATGCATTAAGATAGATGCCACGGTCACCTCTTCCATGTAGATAGACTTCAATCTCTGAGCCCTGGTTCAAGTAATACTTCACAGTAACCGGCCATTGTACCCACTTTTCGCTGTTCGGTAACACTCATGAATATTACAAACGATAACACGATACCGATCCTCAAATCAACGCATTCGACCCTAGGTTATTTCTCGTAATTAATTTGCACATCGGGATTAGGCGAGGCACTCAGGCTAACTAACCAAGATGAAAGGAAAGAAGGAAAATAGAGCTCCCTCGGAGATTTAGCATTCGGAAGTTTGGGGGGGTCCGTGATGTGCCACTGCAAACGCCAGATGCCCAAATCGCCATTAAATTTAATTATACTCCGGTCCAAAACACAATTGACGACTCGTATTATTTCCTATGCCAATATCAAAACTCCGATGAGTACTGTTACGGTAGCTATGGAATATTGCCGGCTTCACGAGCACAGGCAACAAATGTCGCTCGAGCTTTTCACATCGATGTTTAGATAAGTTAAGGGCTATTATGTCGCAAGCTATGATACAAATACTATCTTGTATAGAAACCTAACTTCTCCGTGCATCATCTTTGCCCATAAGCGCTATTTGTCAACACCTTATTCCTTAGGTCTTCTGACTAAGAGAGGAGGGGAAAGATGAAACTACCGTCCATATCAGGCCTGGGGAGGGCGTACATCCTGGTAATATTTGCATTGTCTAGTCTAGATCAGGTCTATGCTGGATCCAGTCCAAGGTACCCTCACATGGACAAGAAGACTGCACGAAAGATCCTGCAAGGCCACCAGCGCCGCCAAGAATACAACCAAGCCGACCAGACATGCATCGAGTCCGAGGCCGTGTCTATCACGGCGCCCAAAGAGAATATTTGGAGTGGTCTAACCGAACTCGAGACCATCTCGGTTGTTTCATGGCTGTTTGCGCAGCCTGAGCTCAACTTGACAGCGTCGGAGAACGCAACCATGTGGGATAATAAGTTGTAGGTCGGCAGTATCCGCCGCTAAGAAAGAAAGGAATAGCTAATGAAGTGGAAATAGAGCGTTAGTCGAACTGCTTAGGCCGAACAAAACTGACGCCGTGGCCTATCTTCGAGGGGGAACCGCGCCACAGAGACATGCCCATGTTGTTCTCGATGTGCGCGCTACACTTGAGCCTTACTACCAAGACATTACAGTTGGCCCATTGCCTGTCAGCAACCTAACAACTTGGCAACCTTACGACTATGGCCTTACAAGAAAGACGAATGGCAAGGTCCCGAATCTATTGGCCGACACACTCATAGTCATGAACGAATGGATTCCTCCAATTGGCGCTAGTGTTGCTGACATTACTCTGGATTTATGGAATGGCACTGCGATGGGCCTCGACAACGATACGTTGTACATCTGGGGTACGTAGTGAATATGTGCTCTGCTCTATGAGACGCTACATTTGCCTTGATTCTCTTCCATTCCACATACTAACATCTCAGGTACTGGCGAGCCTTGGCAAGAAGATGGGCGCACTTATCGATGGGATGTGTTCTGGAATACCGCGACGGATCAGTTCGACGTCCAGTCGTTGCTTCCACTGGGCTTATACTTCAAAAGTGACGTTACTGGACGCGACCCTTCAAAGTGGAAACTCGAAGGTTGGCTTTACAACGACATCTTTTACGAGACAACCGAGAAGTTTCGCACAGCGTATTGGAACGGTCTCCCTAAACTACCGGCAAACTACGAGGGAGACTGGGCCAGGACAGACCAACAAGGCCCTCTCATGCCTTACGATAAGATGACGCCGCCTGTCCCTGTTGCTCCCTCTGGCTCGCGCTTCGCTATTGATCAACAGCGGAACTACGTTGAGTGGATGGACTTTAGCTTTTACATCAGCTTTCGTCGCGATACCGGCGTGGCGCTCTACGATATTAGGTACAAAGGCGAACTTCTGTTATATGAGCTTGGGCTGCAGGAAGCGCTAGCGCATTACGCCGGTAGCGACCCAGTCCAGTCCACTACTGCATACTTGGATTCCGAATACGGTTTCGGCGTTTATGCTTTTGAGTTGGTAACAGGCTATGACTGCCCTGAGTACGCAACTTATCTAAACACGAGCTTTTACAAATCCGAGACAACGCATACTCACCTGAAGAGTATATGTTTATTTGAGTTCGCAGCGGATTATCCGATACAACGCCACTCCAGCAGTGACTATGTCTCCGTTACAAAGAACACGCACTTTAGTCTACGATCAGTATCCACAGTCGGCAACTACGACTACATGTTTACTTATTCTTTCTTTTTGGACGGAAGCATTTCTGTTGAGGCTCGCGCTTCTGGCTATGTCCAAACGACGTACCTTGGAGCACCCGAATTCGGGTTTACTATCCAAAAAGGACTTAGTGGCAGCATACACGATCATGTCCTCAATTTCAAAGCCGACTTCGATATTTTGGGTATTTGACCTTGGTTTGAAAGCCTGCGGTGCTTTTGCCCCCCCTCCATTCTTTGTTGACACTTTTTAGGTAACAACAACACAATGCAGCTTATCCAGAATGTGCCAGTATCACGCGTTTTCCCGTGGTCCAATGGCAAGGCGCGCAACACGATGCAGTTGCATCGATCTTTTATTGAATCCGAAAACGAGAGTCGAATCAACTGGGACAGTACGACACAAGTGCTCGTCGTTAATACGGATACACCGAATCAATGGGGCGAGTACCGGGGATATCGGGTCATGCCTAACTCGGGAACGGCGCACCTTACGGTGCTTAACTCGTCAACCCTTATGAATGCGGCGCGCTGGGCCGAGTATGACGTGCAAGTAACGAGGCAGAAGGACACCGAGCCTTCTTCAGCTCACCCGTACAACTCACAAGACGTGAACGACCCGCCAGTCAATTTTGAGCGCTTTTTTGACGACAGGGAGTCGCTGATGCAAGAGGACCTGGTACTTTGGTTGAACCTTGGAATGCACCATGTGCCGCATACGGGTGACTTGCCTAATACCGTTTTCACCACGGCCCACTCAGGCATTACATTCATGCCAAGTAACTACTTCGACATCGATCAAACCCGCCGTACAGTCAACATGGTGCGCATTGAGTACTCGAGCGATAACACTACCGCCGTGGAAACATTTGGGCAGAGTGAAGCCACATGCAGCTTTGAAGCCAAACCCGTCAATCTTTGGGATTACAGGGGTGATGTTGTAGTGAAGAAGTTTCCTTTCCAGCCGGATAGCCCCTCCTCTTTGTTCGAGGAGAAGTAGCTGTAACTACTAGGAACTAATCAGTTAGCCTTAAACCTGCTCTTTGGACCCGCCAGCTCTACGATATTCTTTAAAATGAATTTCTAGGAAACGTCCCCGACACAGATCATAACAGTCGACAATGGACCAAGTATGCCTTATTCTCCTGCTTGCTGGTGCTATCTATCTTAGGTAGAGATCGTACTAGTATTGAAAGTCACGGGATCTGGCTCGGTAACCTGCAACTGTCAGCACATACAACGAACTCAGGACTCTTTTATAAAAGAAAGCCTGCGGATGATGATGATATTGAAACGGGATAGGGTGATCGGGGCCATACTGGGAGGCTTGTGTTTCTTTTGGCTTTTACATCTTTTACTATTCGACAGGCGGTCCAACTAGGGCCATTAACTAGATAGAGCGCGGGAGAGCGAGCTTGAATCGATCAACCAACAACGCATCTGCTCTTGAACTAAACAGAGCCTTTCGTGACTATTTACAGCCTGATCGTGATAATACAGGACTTTTGGGAGCAGTCACTTGACTTAACTGCCTGGATCTGATCAGTACGGAAGCCCTGATCTGATCAAGCCAGACACAGCTTGAAGTAAGGAGTCCTGTGTTGCTTTAGAGGGTTTTGCGTTTGTTTGCGTACCGCACCGCACCACCAAAGACTTTATCATCTTGCATGCATCCCATATGTTCTCGAAATAGTCACCAACGGTCGTGGTTAAGCGGATCTGGCAAGATGTGACGGCATCAAACTCTGTAATAAGGGTTAGATGCATTTACAATGATTGTAAGAACTACCTGATGAGGAAGGTGATTTCGGCCCAAATAAAGCACAATGACTTGTGCCATTCTACCAATGTATCAGGGATCATAATAATTCTGGAAAAAAGAAAACCGACAATTGGTAGCCCCTAGAGCATAGCAGACGGATTCAAGAGCTGGAAAGAACAACGATTATCGCTTGTTTAGGTAGTTATACAATATAATCGGGCGGTGCCGCGCAGCTTCGGTAACGGACACGATAACCTGCAACTAGATCTCCTAGAGAATATCTGCTCTCTTTTGACAATCCATTGTCTATACAATGCTGTCTTCCCCCCAAAGGCCCTGTGATATTCCCCTTGGCGATAAGTACATCGCGTCTCCACAACCACGCGCATCGATACAGATGGAACTCCCATGTTGTCCAAACCTGCGTTGTTGAGCTCAGGTCTGGTAATTCTTGAATGGACACCTGCTCCATGTCTCGAGGGTCATGAACGCCATTGATGCTCGGGTGCGAATCACCATAGGTGGTGTTCCTGTAAACGTAGAACTTCCAATCCCGGAACCCTCGAAACTTGATTTCCTCGTTCAAATGTGTGCACTCAGGCGGTTGCCAGGTTCCAGTGGCTAGTTCAAAAACACAGCCCCGCTGTAGGGCTGTTTGGGCATCGGCCCCACACGGATAGCGTTGTGCATTTGTCTCAGCCCACTCAGTCATAGAGACCGAGTTCGATAGGAGGTACCAAGCGCCACTATTGACAGGAACTTCTACAAATGCGGACCAGCTGATTAAGACCACGAGGAAGCCAACGATGGCGGAGGTAAGTTGGAGGAGGCCCAGTTGAATAGTAAATGAAGCCATAAGGTATAAAGTTTGTAGTGCGATGCGATTGTCTAAAAGCTCAAGTGCGTAATCAAAGTGGAAATTTGGTTCCGCGACATTGGCGTAAAGAATGGAAGAGTATGCGAATGATGAGGATTCATGGGGTAACAAGATGGTACCGGGGATTTTGGATGGCCAGGAACGTATTCTGCGTTCGTATCAGGAGATGGTCCTCTTCTCTCTGTGTCAAGACTAGGGGATCGACGTTCTATAATCAAAAACCTAAACATCCGGTGAAGACCTCGGGCATTTTAGGCACGGAATTTCCCCACGCCGGTTTTATCCGAACACTTTTTATGTAACGTGTGCGATTAACTATGAAGCCTTAGGTAAATAAAACATTCCATGGGCAGAGAACTGAGATTTAGACGAAGTCTAGTGTGGCTGGGTACCAGATCTCACCAACTTTCACCCACAGCCAAGATAAACATTTTTCTTCTTTGACGCTTTCCTCGAGGATGACATCTTACGCCTCTCTTTCAATGTCCTACTCCGATGTGTCCGATACATTTAAGAACAGGAACGAGATCGAAGATTTTGCTGACATAAATGTCCACCGATCGCCCCCTTTGGTACACCGGACCATGTTGGCTACCATCGCATCAAGTATAATTGCGCTCTCCTTTGGTATACTACTTGCGATAAGCATTCTCGTACCTCTTACACCATGGGCAATCTCGTCGGAATTTGAGCATTCGTTGGTCAAACGCAAAAAGGATGTTGCTGAGCGTACATCGTGCGGCACATCGGTTGAGGAGGCGAAAAACCGTGGATGTCACTACGACCCGTCTCTTCTATCTTGGGTTTCGCCTTATTGCAAGCCGGACGACATCACCGATCACTTTGTCCGACAGTCAATACACACAGTCTACCATGACGAGGACCTCCAACACCCAATGAACATGTCATATTATCTAGCTGGCGAATTCTCCCTAGCCTACGACAACGTGGAGCATCACAAGAACCACTGTTTAAGTGTGTGGAAAATATTGATCGAAGCATCGATGTTGTCCTCTGGTTCTTCCTACTATCAGGTCTTAGTCCCCTCTCCCTCGCTTTCCTGGAGTCACACAGTTCATTGCAGCGAAAGTATTGTAGTTCCTGACATGGAAAGTCCATGGCGGACAAAGCCTAAAGTCAGCTTCGACGTCGAGTACTCAAGTTGTGAGCTACTACGGTGAGGGATATACTGCGTGTCGTGCCATAAGCAGCTTGCCTATATGGTAGTAGGCAGGGATATGGAAGAGTGTATCTAAAAGGTGGGCCCAAAGGGTTTCAGCCGATGAATATTGCGTGTGAAATAAGCGTAGACAAGGAACTTAGACAAACTCATCTGATTTTGGTTTGGCCGGTTGAATCATTCTGGATGCGTAATCATGCCAATTATTATACTATCTCTTCAAAGCATTGCTAAATCCCATTGAAAACGTCATCTGGTCGACAGCAGTAGTGGATCAAAGGCACAGTTTCACCATAGACGTACGCCGAGTCCCCATTATTCGGAATAGAAGTTTCTACCGGCCTTTTTCGTTCTGGAAAGCCTAAGTCCCCCATCTCCGAGCACGAATGTGAGGAAGGTCTGCCTCATTCAACTTCGATAATAAGACGTTGACGAGAGTGTAATAAGAATGATGTGGACAACAACGTATTGGAGAGATTCTATCCTATTCTCTACAAATCTATTAAACTACACGACTTGCATGTAGAAAATTGTACGGTTATTTGTCCTCTCCAGATTCAGTCCGTGTGTGGACCTTACCCGTCCTTATAACTAAGTCTGAAGTAGGTCTAGAGCAGTATTGAAGATATCCACGTTACGGTGGGTTCTGTGCAGCTGTCACCAACTAAACTTGGCATTAATTGGCCAAAAATTCGAGATTCTCACAGCTTCCCAAGATTTCAAGAGCTGAAACAATATCAGTTTGTCAGAACCCGCGGCTTAAACCCATGCATGTTGGTCACTGTCCCGGCAACCCCCTTAACCAGACTGACCGCAGTTGGCCATCTGTTAAATACATGTATCAACGGATGCAACACAAAGGTCTCGAAGACCTTACGAGGGTTGCTAGTTGAAGGCGGCGACAGTGAGTAGAGAATAAAATGAGAGCGTGGATAGGTAAGTCAAGTCACCCCCTTCTGAGCATATCCCTTTTTTGGTACTACCCTGACTAAGCCAAAAACATTTAAACCCAGAAGTGCAGCTCCTACCATTTCGCTCCTAACACTCTTCGTACGCAACAGTAACCTCCGTATTGATATCGGTCGGAAGCATCGTCACAGGATTATGATTTAATATCCCCAAACAATGATAAAAGTGGTCCTCATCTCGAATGTAGGATGGTATAGTGTGATCTATCCGGTGTTCCTTGTACCGGCGATACAGCATGCGCATGCTATAAGCGCAATGAGTGAGGTGCTGTTCCCACGTAATGAAGATCACCGGCTCATTGCCACGTTTGACCGTCTCCTTGCTGATCTCTATGGTGGCATTTCTGTCGAGAAAGTAAGGCCATCCATGGTTGCCGAACTCCTCATCCATCTCGGCATCATAGCAAGAATCTGGGACCCATCGCAGTCCGATCAGTTCATAGTGACAACCGAGTGCTCTCGCCTCATCCGGAGAAGAGCCGCAATGGTATTTGGGTAATTGTGATGCGTAGACTTGGAGAAAGGAGACGATGAGAATAATAACAATAGTGAGAATGGTAGACAGCCCAAGTATTCCCCAGAGTCTTCGTGGAGAGTACAAATTGCGATTACATCGGGTTCGGTGGTCTGGTGATCCTACATGCTCCGTGGTAGGCACTTGTTCATAGTCTCGACTCGTATTTGCTAGGGAAATGGGGCTTGGTAATGATTTCAAGAAATCCATAATGAAGCACCGTTATGGCTATCAAAGGACAACAAGTAAAAACAATAAAGGAATATCAAAGGATTAATATTCACGATGGTACTGTGTCAAATTCTTCATTTTTAAACATGGGATGAGGGGTGGCGTAAATGCACGAGCTCGGTCGTATGAGGAATAGCGAAAGCGCCATGAAAAACCTCCGAAGACAGCTATGTTTTCGAGCGCGCTGATGGGTCCAATTAACCCCCGAGGGGGCAAACCGACAGCAATCATGAGAAAGCTAATTTCTGTTTTTCTTTTCTTCTGCTTGTCATTCATCTAATCTGAGATGGAGGAGTAGCCCCCCCATATGTTGGGTACAGGCCATTTGTCCCTGCAAATAAGGCAGTATGAAACTCGACAACACGTTCATGTGCTCCATACACCATTGTGACTGAAATAGCATTGCCCAGCCATATCATCGGAGAATTTGTAAGCTGGCTATTTGGCTACATGCAGTGAAAATATGTA